ACTACTAGTTAACAAAAAAAGCTGAGCGCTGGCGAACAGAAAAATTTATCAAAAAAAAAATGGGGAAGGTTTGCTGAACTTTCTTAGAATTTCGCAAATGGAATACTGCATGCTCGTCCCATAAAAGGTGTTCACAACTTTTACTTGGTATCTTTATTCAGGGATTTTACTCAGGGATCACGTAAAACAATTATGAAAACATATAGGCAACATGTAACAAAAAAATCAGATTCACGATGAGTACAAAATTGTAGTTTTTTGGGATTGTTAGAGAACTAATAAGCTCTATCATAGATAATAATGCTCGTCTCTATACACAATACAAGGAGTTCGAGGATTCGAAGAACGAATGGCAGATACAAACTAAACAACTACGAATGAGCTTTTCCGAAAGGTTTAAAGCTCGTCTTCTTCTTCAGAAGAATAACTACCTACAACTGAAACTGGTGATGGGCGCACTTGCAGAGAAGCGATGATTATGAGTGATATAACAAGGCTAAAACATATCAATATGTCAAAATTCGTGAGTATACGGGAGTATGAAAGGGTAGTAGGGTTAAAATATTGAGAATTTCCACAGCTGATACAGGGGGGGGGGGATAATTTAACGCTTTCGTTTGTCAAATGTGGCTGTGATTTCTTCAACGGTCTTTCCTTTGGTTTCGGGTACAAATCGCCATGTGAAGAAGATGAAGAACGATAGTAATGCGGTGAAGACGAGGAACGAGTATTGGGCAAGGGCATTCTAAAAAATTCTTATATTCTGGATTTTTCAAAAAAATATCAAGGAAAACTCACATTAAGTGAAAGGAACGATAGTCCAACAAGCAAGTTAGCTGTCCAGTTAACCATTACAGCTACCGAGTTTGCATTGCTACGAGAATTCGAGGCAAAGATTTCAGACACAAAGAACCATGGAATAGAACCTGAAAAATTCCTTTTACAAAAGAAATTTACCAGTTTACAGAAACGCGCAAGTACTGCCGCAACAGAAAAGAACTCAAAAAAAGCCATAGAAA